CCACACCCCTTCCTCCTGCACTCCTTAGGACAGCTACTTTGTCTATACTTACCTCTTCCCATTGATGGATATACCGTATGAGCCTAGACAGTCTCAGGAGCCGCAAGAGGCTGAGGATTTTGGTGAAACGCACAATCCGCAGAGCTCGGGCTGTCTTATAAACCTCTGAATCGATGCGGGTCTCCACAATCAGGAAAATATAGTCTACTGGAATGGATGAGATAAAATCCACCACAAACCAGCTTTTGAGATACTTCATCTTAATCCTCTGGGGGTCAAGGATGATCTCCGTGTTGTCCTCCACCACAATCCCCGTGCGAAAATTGAGGACCAAGTCAATGAGGAAGAAGGTATCTGAGACCACATTGAAGACAATCCATGGGGTTGTGTTCTCATCCTTGAAGAAGGTGATGCCTACTGGGATGATGATCAGATTTCCAACCATGAGGAGCAACATTGTGAGGTCCCAGTAGAACCTAGAGGGCAAAACAGAGACATGGGACAAACACAAAGAAAACACCGATAGGGTCTAAGAACTGAGATGTGCATCAACTCTGTCCATGAACTGGGCAAAGAGCAGCAGGTGTACACTCAGAAATAAGTAACCAAGATACCTCTGAGCACACATTTAGTTCAAGAACTTGCTCTCAGTGCTAGTGTTCATAACCTTTCCCCACAACAACCAGAACCCATTTGTCCTCTCAAGCTTTCATCTAATTTGAGGAGGTCAGGTCAGACCGAACGTTTCTTCTGTTGTGAACAACTGGGTATCACTTAGGACAGCCAGTCACACCTCACCCCACAAAGGAACTGCATCACCAGGAAATGAAACAAACAAAAAGTGGATATAAAAAAAGAGTCATTCTATCAGTACCAAAGATATCGAACAATACAGATCTAATCAAGGATTTCCTATTAAGCTATCTATCTGCTAGATAGATAGATAGATAGATAGATAGATAGATAGATAGATAGATAGATAGATAGGATGGATGGATGGATGGATGGATGGATGGATGGATGGATGGATGGATGGATGGAGATAGATAGATAGATAGATAGATAGATAGATAGATAGATAGATAGATAGATAGATAGGTAGGATGGGTAGGTAGGTAGGTAGATAGATCGATCGATCGATCTATGTAGCTGCAAATGAAAGAATAATGCACAACATTCTTCAGAACATTTTGTCCCAATTTTTAACATTGTTTTTCAATTGTTCTGCTTGCTTGCTTACTTCCTCAGGTAAAAGCCCACACACATTTACATCGTTCCTTAATACTGACAAGGGAGATTAAAACTGGAATATTTCTCTCAATAAAAAGAAATTGCAAACGGCTATTTAATGCAGCACTCTTATTCAGCAAAGGCTCTATTAAAAGAAGGGGGGGGGCTTTGATTTCTTTATCTGCTCCCAAAGTATAATTATATCTATATAAACCTTTGTCAGCAAGTATTTCTTCAATGTTTTACAACCACTGAGATACTCCACAGATTTATCTCGGGACATGTCAAATGGCAACATTCTGCAATATTAATATCAGTCACAGAAGCCACATTAATTCCCAGTAATCTGGGATGGGTTTTTTTTTTAGGGCTGAGCTGGAAGTTCTCAGATTAATTTTTTCAGTCCCAAACTGAGCCTCTGGGGAAGCTAAAAAAGGTTCCTTTTTCCCTTGAAATCACCTCCTGTTGTTTCTGGGGCTGATTTGGACTGAACCCCAAGGCAACATCATAGAACCAAATGAAATTTGGTTACAATAATACCAGAAACCAATTTAGAATGAGACCAATTATTTCTCTCTCTCTCTGATGTCTTCTTTGCTGGGGGATTCATGGTGGGCCTCACCTATACAACTGAAGCTCTGCCCTTTATATATATATTGAATATGGGACACACATAAAAAGGAAGCAAGGTTCCCATCGATGGCCACGGTCATCTTGCCTTTTTTGACCCCCCTGCAGATGTCCTTGTCTCTTAGTTGAAAACAGAATTGGGGAAAGCCCCTAATTCTTGCCACTGGTTTCTATCTTAGTGTTTGCAGGCTGCTTCCCCACCTCCCACCCCCCAAAAAACAGGCCTTGAAACTTACGTGGCAAAACTGAGATTGTCATCTCTTTTCTTCTTATTCATCTCTCAACTCGGTACCGCACAGTCCTATTCCCAGGAGCTTATGCCCAGAGACATTCTTACATAAACGTAAATAGGCCAGAACATTTGGAAACCACATTTCTGAGCCCTTGTGTACTTTAACACATTTACCAATTGAGGGGGAAATGCAATTCAATTCTCAGGTTTAATTGCCCAAGGAAAGCTGGCGAGCCATACCTACATTCTTCGCCTTAACATCTTGCAGACACTTTCTCCCCAACCTGACACCTTCCAAGTAAGTAGCTTAGGCACAATAATTCCTACCCAGCATGGATGATGGGAGTTGTTGTCAGTCCCATCTGGAGGGATCAAGATAGGGGACCAGGGGAACCCTGACAGCTATTCGTCCGTTCTTAAAGGAGACATGGGATCTGTAATTGCATAATATCCAAATGACTGCTGACAGTCACTTCAGTATCAGAGCACCAAGTTCTAAGAAACTGTATGCTGCCTTTGACTTTCAGCTCATCTGCTTTAATGCTATAGGACAGATATGAGCAGCATTAAATCCCTTGGGTCAGCTATCAATTAGTCATGGACCACATTTGGCAACGTCGCATTCAATTCTTTCCAAAGCAGTTCTTATCATATAAGTGAAAGCCTCTTAAAAGAGATGGTCTTTTTGTATTCTCTTGGTTTTCGTGCCAGGAAAAAAGAAAACCAAAAACCCAGAGTGGCACGATGCTTCTTTCTAAGGAAATTCCGGACCTGTCTCGTTTTGCTTTTTACTGACCAGATTTAATGCCACCATCACAACTTCGAAGAGCCTTCTCCGTCCCCTCCCTGCACTTAACTCAAATACTGAGAAAGACAAACGTTGTGGAAGTGTAATTAGCTAGCCATTTCATGGATGGTATGTCTCACTAACACTTTGCCTTTGATGGTAGCTCTTCTCTACGCAGGTGTGGACCAGGACATAGAGCAGTATGTGATTCCTCAGAAGGAAAAGATCTAAATTATTCCAAAACTACCTGGATAATGATGAATGATCTTTTCTGCTGTTTTAATATAATGTTGCTCAAAAACTACCTCCCATCCTTTTGTCCGATGGAGAAACCAGCTGGGAGAGTTGCACAAGTCAGCAAAAGAATGAAACGTTTTACGGGATTGCAGTCTGCTGGAAATTTTTGCAACCGTAGGAAGCTTTTCCAAATGAAGCCTTACCAACGTTTTACAAAATTCATCCCAGAATATTTTCTTCAGCATTTTGTGACGTCGTCATTCTTTCAAGAAAACACACCAAGTGTATTTTGCTCCATAACAGGGACCCACGGATAATGTCAACCATAGTCCGTAAGGTCAAACCATCGTTTCAGTAATGCTAAACCACAGCTGGGGTTTCAGGACCAAATCCCCATGTTGATATACTTTTTTGCTCCCCTCACCTCATGTTTTCAGAAAATGTCTGCAGTAGGGTGTAACAACAGAATCTTAAAAGCCTGTTCAAGCTTCTCTCTATCCCATCTTATCCTTAATAAAATCAAGGTGGGGTTATTTTGAGTTTCCTCTTCATGCTTCCTGTATCTCAGGACTGGGGGATCTTCTCTGCAAGTCCCACCTTAACATTTTTTCCCATACCAAGGTCATCTCTCATTTTTTTACCCCACCCTATCATTATGGAACCCTTGGCCCCCAGAGGCCTGATCCCCCCCAAACCATACCACTTGCTGTTTTTTTTATTTTATTTTTTATTTAATTAGCAGACTTATCCCTGCCCATCTCCCCCAAATGGGGGACTCTGGGTGGTTTACAACAAATTAAAACAAATAAATACATAATTAAAATTTATAAAATTTTTGTTTTTTGCTTAAAACAGTGCTGTTCTGCCAGGCATTTGAAAATTAAGTGGCACTAGGAATGCTCTTTATGGTGCCTTGCTTTATATTAGTATCTAATATTATGGTCATTTTTAACTAATATAGTTGGCATTTTTCAGGGGATTGAGTTGTTTTTATTGCACGTTTTATGCGCTAACCACCACCTAGAGCCTTGGGACTGGTGCGATGCACATTTAGGGAATAAATGAATGGACAAATCCTTTCCCCCCTTTTCTTCTTAATCTGGTGTTGCTTCCGATTCTGCATTCTTCTCTTCTCCAGCAGCGTCACATTTGCAGCAGAGACTGAAGCTTGACAAAAAGCAACTGAGCGCGTTTCTCTGATTCCTATCTCAAACACTTTCAGGGTCTGGACAGCTTGAGGGCTCACCTTCTAAATGACACAATTCTACCCACTGCAATGCAAACAAACACTTTAACAACAACAACAGCATGAGCAAAACGGTGACTTGATGTTGGGACATGTGTGGGTGGCATTGTATCTCGGCAATTGTTGCCCAAATATTGAGTAATGTATGTGGGACTTGCTTGCTGATCTGTTCGTGGAGAAATTTGGAGGTGCCACCTCCGGATTCTTTAAAGATTGCAAAGTAGGGTTATTTTAGTGGGCTTTCTTTGTGGTGTCAATCAACATCAATCAATACATTCCTTCCTTGGATCATCTTCTCTTTTGAAGGATCATGGATAATATTAGGAAAATATCCTTCGCCACAGTTGCCTCAATCTCATTCAGGGCCACGCTCACAAATTTCTCAAAGCTGTTCTGAAGCACTGATGGAAAACGTGATTGAAGGGTAGAAGGACTACTTACAAGAAGACAAGTCTTACAGAAGAAGAATCACCATGACCTTTGGATACACAGTAGCAGTCAACTTTTTACAACCAACACTTTAGGGGTCTTAGAGAAAGCCAACCAGTATGGGGTGGTGAGTGGCAGACCTGGCGGAGTTGGAATTTTTTTTTAAGCTTTTGAAAATGACTCTCAACATCAACCTCTGGATAAAGAACCATGGCTACAAATGCAGTTAAAAATCAGGGAGCAGAGCAAATCATTGGTGAGGTTAGATGAAAATCAATCCATTTGAGAATCCATCTTTTCTTTGAAACAGCCAGGTTCCACCTGCTACCATCCTAACCCTTTCTAACTTGGCTAGCAAAGGGCTTTCCTCAGCTCATTGTTGTCACAGCAAGAGAAATAAGACCTCATAGCCTTCAGGTTTCCAGAAGCATATAAATTGGAAGCACAAAATACGATTGAGGCAGGATGTCAAGATAATTATAATTTACAACTGAGGATTGGATTAGCAGGCAAGTTTATATGAGTTTATTCAGGAAAAAGTAAGACTGGATTCACTGAGGCTTACTCTCCAGTAAGTCAGTAAAGAATTGCTGGCTTTGCCATCTTTTAATGAGAAAACAAACCAACCTTGATCTTTCTGGACAACCACCATCAGTGTGCTTGTCCAACACTCTGGACTCAGCTC